GTAAGATCCAGTCAGAGAGTAGCTGCCCACCCCACCCCCGAGGCTTCGGTAGGCCAGTCCCAGACTTCCTACTCTGGCCTTCTAACCCGCCAGCCTAATGTCTGCAAGAAAGGCTAATGTCACAGTTTCACATGTCCCTGTGTGCACCCTGTTACAATTGTCTCTCGTGCGTGAGCCTCACCATCCCAGTGCTACTGGGGTAAGCCCCTTGTAGGTCAGGGGTCTGTCTGCTACTGACAGCATTAGCTCTATGGACAAAGCTCACTTTGTATGTATTCTCACCAGCCAAGGACTCTTACAGATGCCTTTATAATCTTCAGGAGAAAATGAGTCAAGATGGCAAGCTGCTCAGTGGGTAAAGCGCTTGCTGTGTGAGCATGGGGACCTGAGTTCCAGTCACCAGCCCTGGGAAGAGAGAGAGAGAGAGAGAGAGAGAGAGAGAGAGAGAGACAGACAGACAGACAGACAGACAGACAGACAGACAGACAGACAGAGACAGAGAGAGACAGACACACAGACACACAGAGAGACACAGAGACAGACACATAGAGAGAGAGAGACAGAGAGACAGACAGAGAGACAGAGACAGACAGAGAGACTGAGAGACAGGCACAGAGAGAGAGACACACACAGAGAGACAGACTCACAGAGAGACAGACACAGAGAGAGACACAGAGACAGACAGACACACACACACACACACAGAGGGGGGTTCTCTGGGGCTTGATGGCCAATCAGCCAGTCTAGTCAGATAAATGAGTTCCATGTCCAGCATCTCAAAAACAAAATAGAAGACAATAGAATTGGCCTCTGATGTACACACACACACAAATTTTTAATGTATAGACCAAATTACACTCTTAGGTCCTCCAATATTTGGTAGAATCAAGACTTGGAGTAGATAAAGGCCTGAGGAGAGAGAGATCACGGTTTAAACATCGCTGCTGCAGGGAGGGTTGAGACTTGATGGGGAAGGGCCAAGGGACAACCCCAAACTGACAGCTGCTTCCCCAGGGTAGGGCACATCTCAGTGCTCCTCAGGGGTCCAGTAAGGCATCTCAGGTCCAGTAAGGCATCTCAGGTCCAGTAAGGCATCTCAGGTCCAGTAAGGCATCTCAGGTCCAGTAAGGCATCTCAGGTCCAGCACCCTGGGGAGCAATGCAGATCTGCGAGGTCCAGGGAAGTGTGTACACCTTGTGACCTGTAAATTATTTTCTTTTCAAGACAGAGTTTCTCTGTTTAGTTTTGTAGGCCAAGCTGGCCTTGAACTCACAGAGATCCACCTGCCTCTGCCTCCTGAGTGCTGGGAGGCTCTTGCTTGTGACCTGTCAATTCTATTTGGGGTAAATATCCCACCTGGGCTCCTAAGGGGGCATTTAGGAGAACTTTCGTGGCTTCTGCTTGTAGCTGGGGATAGTTGAACGTACTCTAGGTTCCGGTGCTGAGCAGCTGACAGGTAATATAGGACCCAGGGCAGCTTGGTACGCACCTGCTGCTTGCCTACACTGCTGGCATGACAGGTTCAATAGACACCCGGGATGTGTTGGAGCAGGCTACCTTCCTTGGGTGTCTGGAAACAAGATTGTCAACTAGATGACAGCTGCTGCCTCCTCCAAGAAAGCTCTCCACCAAGCCCAGAGGCTTCTTCGTCCATGCACAGTCATGACTTGCTAGTGAAATGATCCAGGGAGATACCAAACACAACCAAGCCTGGGTTCAACTCCCCAGACACTCATGTAACTAGGTGGGGCCTGAGCATCTGGATTCCACTAACAACCTGATTTGGAAACCACTGACTCATAGTGTTCAGCAACGTTGACCCCTAGGGCCTTGGAAGGAGGAGTCCCGTAAAAGAATTAATAGGAGCTGAGGTGGTTCTTCTGGTAAAATGCTTCCATGCAAGCCTGGGGATTTGAGTTCAACCCCAGACCCCACATTAATTAAAATAATAATAATGTGATGATTAAAGCTGAGTGCAGTGGGGTGTGTTCATAATAATGTACTTCATTTTTCCTTCTGTAAAATTCTCGTGGCTCCTGGCTGGTTTAGGCTTTTATCTGAGTCTGGACCTTTTTCTGATGGGGAAGTGGGTCATGGCCTGCAGGAGAGCATGTGTGGGTCTCTCGAAGCATATCCATACAGACAGCAGGGTTCTGACAACCTAAGCAGCCATCATGATTTTACTGGAAGCACATCGTGTTCACCCACAGTGGGCAGTACTGCCAATCTCCCATCATCCCCCTGGCCACCATGCAAAGACATTAACAAGAACAAGGCTCACAGGAAGCTCTCTGAAAAGAGGTCTGCCCAGCAACAATCCAACGAAAAGGCAGGAGACCAGCCCATTCTAAAAAGGAAATTCTGTATCTGTTAACGTTGATATAATTGAAGTCGTAGAGGAAGTGCTTCATGCCAAGAGGCGGTGGGTACCACCCGAGCCTCACCTTCTCTCTGGACCTACACGCTCATCCATTCCACAGAGCTTCTTCAGCTGGTAGATTACTGGCCCTGTCAGGCGGGGTCTCTGGAGGGACACAGAGAATACATATCACAAAGGGGAATTACTAGATTAGCTTACAGGATGCACTCTGGGGAGTCTGACAGCGGCCACCTGCACACCGAAGAGTCTGGGAATCCAGTTAACAAAGCCAGATAACTCAGCAGCCACAGTCCAAGCCCACAGCCTGGAGACCCCACAGAGTCACTGGTAGTGCGGCCATGTTGGGAGGCAGAGGCAGCTGGAGCAACGGGGGCGGGAGTCAGGGGCAGCCACACATGCTGTCTTTTCCCAGGGCGTCTTCAGACACAGGCCACCTGTTGGAAACCGGCGCCGGGTTGGAGAGAGGGTCTCCCCTCCTCATGTAATCCTCACAGACATACACAGAGGTGTGTCTGCTGGGTGATTCTAGACCCATCCACGTGCGTGCACGCATCCAGGCAACTCACACATGCAGGTGCCTACAACAGAGGAAATAACTTTTTATAAGAAACCAGTGTTCCACCAGAAGTCACAGAAATAAACCCCCAGCCTCTCAGAGGGGTGACTCCCGAGGCCCTGACATAGAAACACTCTTCAGGAAGTACTGATCTCTCCCAAACTTTTGCTCCGGCACTCCCCAGTGGTAGGGAGGGCCCACACCCTTAAGCGTGGGTCTCAGGAATTCTGAGAGACAGGAAGTCTGGGGTTCCAGCTGGCATTCGGTTTCCTCACCCTCCAGGAGCTCTCGGTTCTTCTAATAACCCTCAGCACCCAGGGCCCCATGCGCTGGTCTCCTGTCTAACTGCCCTTGTCTCACATGGTTGAGGGTGAGATGGGAATTGCCTGACACCAAACCAATCTCCTCTACAGCAGAGACAGTCATCCCTAATGGCAGGACTGTTGGTAGCCCAGAATCCTCTAGGATTCTCTCCAAGGGCACATGGGTGACCTGTGTGCCCCATGCCACCTAACAGGAGGCTTTCCGTTCCCTGTTCACTCATATGTTTCTAGCATGGACTCGCTAGCATGCTTGGGTGCTGCCCGGATCTGGGGTGGTTCAGCTGCCTGTATGTAATGAGAGAAGTCAGACGTGGCATTAGCAGAACACTTGCCCTTCGTTGGCCTTAAGTAGGTGTTTTTCCAATGGAAGGTAATTGTTATTCTTAACCACTCCATTTTCTAGGCATGAATCCTCTTCCTAATATATAATAATAGGGAGAGAGGCGGCCGACCCTGTGTTCCGTAAATACCAGGTCCCAGGCAAAGCACGGGGGAGCTTTCCCTTTGTGTCAAGCGTCTTACAAACTGAACCCTTCAGACACTGAGTCCCACTAAGTAACAAAAGAGGAAATGAACGGGGACAGGAACTGCAGTTGGAAATCAAGGCGTTAATAGCACGAGTTAAACCAAGAAAAGCACCCTTGGCTCAGTTGGATCCTTCCAGCATAGAATGGAACAGCAGTCTGTGTCAGCGGGATAAGTGGGCGGGAAAGTGGGCGGGGAAGTGGGCCGGGGAAGTGGGACGGGGAAGTCAGAGCCACCATCTGGAAATGCTACCGTGACAAATGGGAGCTCCCGGGTCCCATTAGACTTCAAGTTTAACCTTTATTATTTTTCCATTTGATTTTTATATTTACACTTTGTCTGCTGAACTGGAATTATAAGTGCTGAGAGCAGAGACTAGATTAGAATCTTCTCAGCACCCTCAGCTCTTAAAACGATGCTGGATACACACACACACTGCTGCTCGGAGAACTATTTTGTTTGAGAATGCCTATTTGAAATTGTCTTGGAGGACTCTTAGCAGCCAAGGAAACTGCTTAAGATTTGCTGTAGCCTTCTAGAAGTGCAGAGAGGTAGTTTAAAGTGCTGACTTCCTGGCTGTCAGCAGGAGACACCCAGACTCGGTTTGCATCACAATAAAACGGCCTCACAACCTGAGGCCTGGGGTCAGGTCCCCAACACTTACATAAGAAAGACTGGCTAAGTATGACTCAGGCTGCAACCCCAGCATAGAGGAGGCAGAGCCGGCCAGACCCCTGGAGCTCACCAGGCAGCAGCCAAACCCAATCTGGAGCTGCAGGTTCGGTAAGAGACTAAAATAAGTGAGTGAGGAAGACACTTGGCATAGACTTGTGGCCTCTACGTGCCCACTGTGCATGAGGATTCCTGAGGAGAAACTGTCCACGCAGGGAAGTTGACTGATTAAAAAGGTGGGAAGGCTGCAGGTGAGAGCAATTTGTAGCCTGACAAGGGTCATTCCTTACACCTCTGAGTGAGACCTACCCTCCTAATGGACAGATAAAAACCTTTGGAAAGTATTTATTAACGGAAAGCAAAACTACTCTCCACCAATGAGAGGGCCAAGACTCATCAGCATCTGATGGCTACGAGTTCTCTATGCAACTATAACCCACGTTTCTGATATTTCCACGAAGGTGGTTTTCAAATGCCTTACTTTATAGTTTTCTTTGTCCTGTTGCCATTTTTAAAAGTCCATAAGACTGCTTCCATGTTGGAA